GGAAAGGCAAGAGTCTTTTGTCAGAATTTGCGTCACTTACATTCTTTAGTTATCATTGCTACAACTCTCCTTTTGCGTTAAAATCGCTCCCAGGAGCAGGGCTGACAAAAAAAGAGGCACAGTGAGCTGCTTCTCCCCCATCCGTTGCTCTGAGTTCAAGAGGGCTCTGCCTCACCACATCACGGTGCACCCTAACAGACAGCACCGCAGTCTCATCCCTCCACTCAGTGGCATCCCCATCTCTTTCCTCGTCGAGCTGAGTCCCTCACTGAAGGAAGCTGAAGGTTTTCAGGCGTTTACTACAAAGGTTGTCTGCATCCTTGTTTTTTGTTTTAGTCTTTCCTGCAAAGTATCGGGCTGTGTCACGCACCGTGTCACGTCTAGAGATACTCTGTGTTATGTCTGCTACCAAAGCAGTTAGCAACATCTCAGAGGAACAACTGTAGGCCCTGCCAGACCAGACCAGGCCATCTCACACAGTGGATAGTCCCCAAAGCAGCCACAGGAGACCCTTCAGAAAAGGGTAAATAACGAGGCAGCAGAAATTGAGGGAGTGCTCTCTCTAAATCTTTCCTCCTAAGTAGGCTGGGCAGAGGGTGGCTTGAACCTTGGATTATGAGCTTTCCACTTCCATTGATAGAGGCGAAATTGCATGCTAGAAATTAGTTACCCATAGAGAAATCACTTCTTTTTCTTGAAAGTTCTTTTCTCTCCCTCTTTGTTTTGTCCTTCTCACCACTAATTCCTGTGTGTGCATTTATATCAAGTGGCAGTGACTGATTTTCTGGCACAAAATGATTTTTGGAAAGTGAGAGTTAAAAAAAAATAGAAGAGAAAGCCAAGGAGTAAAGTTAGAAATTGCTTACCGTCTTCTGAAAGACTAAGACCATGATGGTGGCTAATGCAAAGACGAGTAAAGCAACAAGGGTAGCGATGATGAAATACAAACATGTTTTGTTAGTGGCCCCAAGCCTCCTCGAAACGGTGTCTTCAGTGATATGCATGGCTGATTCATGTGAGTCCTTCACCTGAAAGAGAGTTTGCTCTTATGCCAAGCACATTCTTATATAGCTCTCAGAGTACTGCTCTGTATCTCCTCTTGATCAGATTCAATTCGCAGCCCATCTCTGTTCCTGGCAGGATTTTCCCCCTTCATCCTGGCTCATGTGATCTGGAAAAAAAACTTCATCATTTGTGGTACAAAGAAAAAGGGACCTGGGGGCGTGAAGCAGGACGCAGCTGTGAAGCGGGGAAGGAGCTTCATGTTCTTGATCAGGGATTTCGCGACGGCAGTCTTGTATGCTGCATCGGAGGTTTCTGATGTCAGAAGGTGAATAGTTACCCAGATCAGTCCCCCCTCCCCTGCCACCGGCTTTCTGTGAAACAGAATGCTATGCAAATTTTGTTTCACTTTATACTCAGTGCAGTTGCAGTTCAGTACAGTAAATCACCCCTGAATACTGCCTTCCTGTTATACAGAGTAATCTCTTCTTATTCTTAGTAGTATCCTAGTGCTGCGATCTCCAGAGGTCCGGGTTCAAATATGACCTATGCTTTGAGTTTGCTGACTGTTGCTCCTGCCTGCAAAGATGTGGAGATGTTGAGATTCTCAGTGAAGCATTTCATAGAAATGTGTCAGGAAGGCATCTTAGATGCAGGACGCAAGTTCCAGGCAAAGCCATAGAAAGAAAGCAGTCACATCAAAATAGCTGAAAGGGTGATGGTAGGATGAGGTGGCCACAAAGTTCTGGGTGTCAGTATACACTGATGTGTCCTTGAGTTATTTGCAGTTGATGAATTAATCCTGGCTGCAACTTTGCCCATGAGACTCTCAGATACTCTAGACTAGGACTAGCTCTGAGCCATGGGGGATTGCCACAGAACCGAAATGAGATTTCTGTAGTTGGAAAAATTTCTCTTCCATGCCAGTGTGGCATGAACAGTAATTGCAATCCCTGCATTTTTCACGTGAGGTGACCCCCCTGCTTTTTGGCTTGCCCAGATCTAAAGTTACTTTGACTTTTTTGAAAATGTTGGCAGTGAGACACGTCTTCTTTTGATCCATGTCTGTGCAAGGCAGTTAACTCATGGAACATGATCAAACTGACTAGCAGCATTGGCTGTACCAGTTCACAGTTCAATGATACAAAGACATAAGAATGGCCAAACAGGGTCCTACCAATGGTCCAGCTAAATCAATATTTTGCCTTCAGCACTGAGCAACAAGAGATGCCTTAGGAAGACTAACAGAACAGGAAAAGCAGGTAAACTTACTTCTTGAGAGTAATTCTCAAGGATCCTCTGATTTGGGCTCTTGGGACTCCCAATTCAGAGACAGCTTAATACAGTTCTACTTTACATCCTGACATTACAGAGTCCTGGCATATTATAATATTGCCATTGTTGTTGTTATCATTCAAAAATCACTAGCACACTACAAAGGCTTCTACAGAATTCCGAAATTATGCTATTCAGAGACAAAGCATCCCTCTATCACCATAGAAACAGGTGCAATCCATTTTAATCAGAGAAAAAGGTAAGCATCCTCCTCTCCTTAAAGATGAGACAATGGTGTAACACCCTTGGTTAAAGCTATCTAAACAAGTCTGTCACTCAAGCCGGACAGGTTGGGTGATGTGGATATTCACCCACAGAGACCTGCTTGGTAGATGCAGAACTTTTGTGCGGCTGCTAGAAGCAGCAGATCTTGCTTGTCCTGGTTTGCACTGGAAATTAATCTTGATTGCAAGGGAAAAGACTTACACATTCTTGCCAGTGAAGCTTTATTTGAATCCTTAAACTAATCAGTCACTTATAGCAGCAAACCCATGCTTAGAGAAGCAGACCATGGACCTCCCCTAACACAGTCATTGCTACCCAGCCCTCCATGACAGTGTGACAGCTGTGAAAGGCAGGAGAAAGAATCCAAGCTAAAAAGATCTTGAAGTGACCTGCTAGCATCTCCTATATTTGAAAATACAGTTCCGCATTTCTTGCTTATGGTGATTCCAGGTATATACCTCAGCAAGGAAGAGAACTTGCTAAAGAGAAATAGCGGTGGTGTAGTTTTAAGGAAGTTTTCTGGTTGTGAAGCTGGACTTAATTCTAGTGGTCTGGGACAAGTTGCATGTCTGTGCCACCTCGTCCTCTCTATCATGAAGAGGATGCTGCTCTCTGTGAGCTTGTGGACTTCTATCGTTGCACAGGGATTTGCATGGTCAGCTCTCGAAACTCTTTAAAACGCTTGTGCTAAATGTGCTTATTAGTAGGCAGCCATATTCTACACCGGTGAAGACTGCAAAAGAAAGGGAGATGGAGGAAGACCACTGAGGGAAAAAAAAGGGACAAATTCAGCCCCTGTGTAAACGGGTGCAATGCAGATTAAATTTGGCCTCATGCTTTCTAAGCTAAATTCAATCAGCCCACTCGTATGGCATTGAGAAACCCCAATGTTTAGACTGAGCTCTTCTGTTTCCAAACGTGGCTCAAAAGCAGAATCTCTCTGACAAGCATTGGAGCCCGTTGCAGCCCTGAGCCAGCAATGCTGAAATCTGCTGGTAAGATTACATAATAAATTAATGCACAGGAGGGCAGAGCATCCACTCCTGCAATGATGTTATGCAATAGAGAATTCCAAAATAGCAGAGGTAAGCACCTGAGGCTGTCCTGGGTAAGAACAGGACTGATGAATGATTCCCCTTTTGTACTGGAGGAAATATCTTGAAATGCAGCTCAGGGAAGCATTCTGTTAAGGCAGCTAGTAATTTTTAAGAGGTGAACGTTACAGGATGAATGAATACTTCTGTAGCTTTCTCTTAGGCAGCAAATAAACCATCTCACATCCTCATTAAGTAGGCGAGCTCGGGGTGTTGTAGCCTGTAACCCCTGGCTTGTAGATGGTGAGGCACTTTCAGGGATAGCTTTAGTGCAATGCTCCATTACCCTTTATGTCCTAATAACTTCACTCTACAAACCCTGTCCCACTCTCTACCTAATTATGTAGTGTCTGATTTCCAGTGCACAGCTCACTGCTTTCATGCCTGCTGACCAACGTTGCACCATTCTCACAAGCTCCAGTTCAAGAGGCTGAAGAGCAGGTGTTCGCCCTGTATTTGCATCGTCTCTTTAATATGAAGTACATGCTGCAGCCTTGGCAGCAATGATCTTTGCATAAAAGGACAAAGAGGGAGAAAACAAGTGAACCACAAAACCAGAAGTTCTAATTATTTCTTGGTTGAGTTTTCAAGTGACTCTGTTTACAGAAAAATAGAAAATATCTCAGCCCCTTCTTAATATTTGTTTAACTACTTTTCAGCTGAAAGAAACCAAACTTGCTGAGAACTGAAAACCCGTCCATGCAGTCAATGGAAATTCACCCTCGCCTGAAGTCCATGAGAAGAAAAAAACCTTCCTGAAAGACACTAATGGCCAAGTCTTCAAAGATACTTAGGAACCCCAGCTGCTACTGAAATCCAGGGGCACTGAGGGCATAGATACTTTTAGGACTCTTTGTTTCATATTTCTCTTCAATTGGGTCCATTTCTCATGAAAATCATCATTCATGTTTTATACATGTAGTTCGCTGCCAGAATCTGGTCCTTAGCTTTTAAAGATCTAAACTAGCTCAGAGAAAATGCACCATACTGTATCTTTGATTACCCAAATAGATTCCTAGGATAGCAGTGATGATAATTAAGTGTCTTGCATAGCAAATATATGCTGTTAGGCTCTTATCTCCAAAGAGAGACCCCCTACTCCAACCTCTTCCCTTAAAGGTAGCGCCATTTCAGCTGAAGTGTTCTTGCGTACTCCTCACACTATTACGTGCACACATATACACACGCAAACACACTCAGGCACTTGTAAATCACTTGAAATGGAAATGCAAAATCAGTAAACTGAGGCTTCTGCAAAATGCCATTAGTATTCAAGGTATGAATCACAGGTTCTCAAGTTTTCTCCGTTGAATCACTCTCTCGTATTGTGCTTTGGCGTACCTTTGTGCCCCACATCTCAGGGCGGGCAGATGGAGATGGGTGCGTGGGCAGAGATCGTGTTGCCGAGCACAAGCTACCACCTCGCTCCTGAAAAATGCTGCAGTATTTGATCTTACAGGACTAACATGTGAATTGTCCCCTGGGGATCAAAAGAGGTTTAGCCCGCCTTGCCTGTAGGTTTCTGGTACACGAGGAAGCATATTCTCCATTAGATGGGAAGATGACGGTGGGCAATTTCCAGGCTAGAAATGTTCTGCCATTAACTGGAAGTGTAGAGAACCCCCCACTTCCACCACAGTAAAGAACTACAGGTAAGATTTTCAAAAATATAGCGTAGCCTAATTCCTATTGAAAGTCAGTAATTTAGCCTGGAACAAAGATTAACCAAAAAAAAAAGGCAATTATTATAATCTGTGCCCATTGTGTTCCTGACTGAAGCTTGGTCACAGAACAAAGTAAATGACACTCCAGTGTCATACTCTTAACAGTATCGTGATGATATTTTTATCCATTACCATAAGACAGGCTTTTGAGGGAGATACTGTGTATCTGTCATCCAAGCCTTCTGCTTTCATAACACATTGGAAGGTTTCCAAGAATAGAACTGTTCTTTTCCCATTTTGTTTCTCAATAAAATTACTGAATAAAAACAGACATCAGATGGGAAGAAAATAAGAGAAAAAAAGAAAGGTTAGAGCTGCCATTGTGCCATATCATCTCCCTAGGTAGCACACGATGTTGATTCTTGCTGTGAAATTGCCGTCTTTGTTTGAAAGAATTATATCAGTCAGCCTTGTGAGGAAATAGAAAAGCAGGTATATTAAATTAGCTGAAAATTGGCTCTAGGGGGGAAAGCACCCTTTTGCACTGTATGTGATATGCACCATCCATCTTTCTCAAAGTGCAGGTAGAAACCAGAGGTGTTAAGGTAGATAATAAAATGCAATAATAAAGCGGTACAAATGGAACGGTTATAAAAGCACAATAACATCCACAGATTTGTCAGAGAGTGCCTTCCCTCAGCAGGAGTTACTGTCTGCCCAGACAGTAACAGTTCTTCCCATGGAGCTTCCTCTCCAGAGAGGAGAAGTGTTTACTTTGCTGGAAAATCTTTGAAATATTTCAGCAGCACTTGCTGGTAATAGTCAATATCAGACTGAAAATGCTCTTTTCTGGATATTAAACCCCTCTATATTTTCATTAATGACTCAGGAAGGGGATGAAGAAGATAATGCAGGATTTACCAAGCTGGAAGAAACGGGATGATTAAAATGATCGCTTGAATTAAAAATGTGGAATTA